CAAATGTCAATTTCACGCTTAGTCTATTCACTACTGTTGGCATACAATACGACTTTGATTTTAATCCTGAATTTATGAGCGACAGTATGAATTGAATTGTGTGAGTGCTGTGATGATGATGATTCAATTATGAGATTGAAAAGAACTTGATGAAATGAAATATATTCAAACTGAAATGATATATCTACGACAGTTTGAGCAAATCCACCGTTTCCAGGGTGTAAAAATTGTGAAACTTGTTGTGTTATGGGCAGTATCGCCAATTTTAAAACCCTTAGAAATGGTGGGATGATATTATCGAGGATTTCAATAGACGTTGATGATAATTCTTCTAAAATTATGGGATAAGACAATGATCTATATCAGAATTTACTATTCCTATGTTTATAAGGCATCGTATGCCCATCGAAAATCGACGAATTTCCTTGCGTTTGTCCTTGATTTACCACGATGATCACCTTTATGTGGAACACGCTAAAAAATGGCTACCTTAGGTGTTGATGACGGTAAAGGAACAACGAAATAAAGGCAATTACCATTTGCGATGCGGCGTTCTCAATTTTCAAGACCATAACATCGTTACGAAGTAAGTGCCGCCATGGAATGTTGTCGAATTTGATCAACAGGGTAGATTGGGATCCTGGTTTGAATGAGACATCGGTACCGAGGAAGGTTACCTTTGTCTAGAAGAATAATAGCAAATCGAGGATGTTTTCGCCTTAATGCTAGAGAGAACAATACCTCATCCGTTGTTTTCACGTTCTTCAATTCCAGATCCATTGTTGGCATATCTAGTACCCATGCATATATCGTGGTTTCTCCTTCAATTTGGGGATTGAATAGCCTGTTTTTAGGCAAGTCTACTGAAGAGACACGTGATGTGTACCTACAAAATATTCCTTTGAGTCTCGTACGTAATAAGGAATCCAAATATCCCTACCAGACGTTTCCAGTATCATTCTGATGAATCCATGGTTTTGTGCCATAAAGAGCTTCGGAATTACTACTGAGGAACCTAAACAACAGAATCTGAAAATGCGTTTTAACAAAAATAACAATTTTGATCTTCT